AAACCATAGTCGCAACCCATTCTGCAACTTACTTCGAGACATGGGACAGACTCCCTTAGGGCTTCACATGTTTCACGAGTTGTATTGCCCGTTGTTCGCGTTTTTGGCAACTCGGTACCTAGAAAAAATTATAAGAAAATAAATTCACAATAAAAAAATCTATTATGACATGTTCAAGAAAACTACTTTTCAAAAGTGTTTCTTGTACAAGATAAGAAGTTTTTGTACATAATTTTGCTGAAAATAATATTGGTAGGTTATATTAAAATATTTTTTACCATATCGATCGACACACCAGCATGTCTTGTTATTAGCAACTTCGCATTGTACAGGAGCATAACTGCCATCCTGATCACAAGTTGGAGCTGGCAACGCTAATTCCAATCCTGAAACAGTACCTTCCATTCGCGCAGAAAAGTCTCGCAAATATTCGCACACTAAAAGTAAATTTTGTAATAAAAAGTGAACATATATTTTTTTATACTAGTAAAAATCAAGCAAATAATTATTCTCTAAAAATACAAATAAATTAAAATAAAAAGGCCTTCTAATTTAAGAATTTAATCCAGTTTACTTTATTCAAATGAATCCTTAAATGAAATCATTAGCTAAATAATGTGAGTCAGCTTTTCAAAAAAGGAATTTCTACATACTGGTTTGAACTCTGTCAACATCAGCCGTAGCTTCTGAAATTTGGTCCTCTGATTTATCAGCAATAACTTCCATATCAACATTCTCGATGGGGCAGCAGACCTGCTTACTTTCTTGTGGGACTGAAGTACACATGAAATCAGCAGGACATTTCGATTCTTCGTCACAATGGACAGGCTGCGTTGAATTTTGCAAGGTCAGAGGTGCCCCGTTCGTACAGGGATTGCTGTAGAGAACATCAGGTCGACCTGAAAAAATTAGACACATGTTATGTAGTCTGTATGAACACTATTGAGACAATTATTTTTATCATAAATAGAAGGAAGGAAAAATTGTATATTCATTAATACTCAACAAGGTGGACAAAAATAAATTGTAGCTGAATAAAATTAAAGTTTATTGAACAAATTTAGATCATTGGAGTGTAACAAACTAAGTGAGTTACACATGATGCTCCAATATAGTAGTAATTTAAATGTTATTATAACGATAACTACATGATTAATATACATTAAAAATATTGTTTCTATTTTTTAAAAATATATTGAACTGATCTCAATATTGTAGTCAATTCAAAGGTGAATTTTATTTAAAAATCGAATCCAATTTCTCTAGTAATGACTAAGTAGTGCGGCGTACTTAAAATACTAAGATGCCATGTAAAAAAATCAAACAAAATAAAGAAACCACTTACAAACAGGCACCGATTCACACAATCTTTCACCGCCACCCATTTCACAAGAAGCATCCCTGGCGACAGTACAAGAATGTCCTGCAGGACAATTATATCCAGAGCATGGTTCCTCGCATTCACAAGTTGGGCAACCATTTTCATCGTCCTAAAAATGCAAAAAGATAATTTCCATAAAATATTGAGCAATAATTAGTAAAAAGTAAGTATAACCTAAATTCTCTGTGATACTCATGAGATGAGATGTTCAAATGAAACAGACTTACTTTGAATCCATATTCGCAAACGGCAGCACATATGTTTTTATCACATTTGCTATCATCGACTAAACTTCGTCCAGAAGCTCGTTCTGTAATAAAAATAAAAATCTAATTTATTTTGAATCAGTGTTGGTTAAGAATTAAATCTTGTTCTAAATTTGTTTGGATTCTACATTTTATCATTATTTGTTGCATATATACTTTCATATATTTTTAAATGAAAGAATGGAATGAAGTGATATTTGTGTATTTACGGATATCACATCTAATTTACAATGCAACTAAATATTATACAACTTTTGAATATGTATACAAAATATCATACTATTGATAAATATTACCTATCACTTCCGCAGGACAATCGACATCCTTTGATGACCCCATGGTACCTTTAAGTTTATCACCAGTACGCGGATGGACACACCAGCAGACTAAGCCATTTCTAGAACATTGTTTGTGCAGGAACATACCAGTTTCTTGGTCACATTGAGGAATATACCCACGTCCTTCCCGTTCTCCGATTGCTAAAACTTCTGAGAGTAATCTTTGTCTGTGGCATGCTGTCAAATTCGATGCAATAGTTAAATAAATTATTACAAAGGTCACATAAAACTTAGAGAAAAAAATATCAGTTCAAATTGGTAATTATAATATATCAAAAATTTAGGATCTTTCATTTAACTTTTTCTGTTACCTGTGGCATTTTCAGGGCGTCTACATTGGCCGCCACAAGCTCTGGTTTGACAACACTTAGTTTCACCAGGGCATTGGAGGTCATGTTGGCAAGTGGAAGTGCATTCTTGGTGAGGAATAAGTCCAGCTGCTGCCATCATCGGTGTCAAATCATCATTTGGACATGTACCTGGTTTACGAATGTGGAGTGAAGCTGGACAACATACTCCATATTCATTTCCTGCAAATATTTATTTTAATAAATATAATTTTAAGACTATTACAAGATAAATAGTAGTAAAAGAAATTGTAAATAGTAAAAGTGAATATCATGTTGGAATATGTAAATTTCATTAAAAGAACAATTTTAAATTAGATTAACTAAGTGATAAAATTTATAGCAGCTTTTGCTTATCAGAATATAATTCAATCTTCATCGTTTAAAAATGTTATAACAAAATATCTTAAATGAAAATTAAACATATATACATTTTAATTCTACTATTTGTTTTTTTAGTACCTCTTTGTACGAGACACCGATACATTGGTGGACAATCTGGTTTACCAGGATCATTTCCACACAAGAAAGGCCTTCTGGTATCTGCTATAGACAATGGTGATCCAACTGGACATAACTCTTCCAACGAACGAGCACGTTTGCCTAAGTTGATTATTAAAACGTAGACATATATACTTTATAATCTAAACTTTTCATGAACTTTATGAAAAATTCATTTACACTAAATAAACTATTTAATTATATCTGAACCAAAATAAATTGAATAGTAAATTTAATAGGAGAAATTTATCAATGATCAACTAACAAGTTGGAACGGGTGGACAAGGCTGCGTCCTGCAAGCAACATCTTGCAATCGGCATTGCTGGTTCCTCCTGGACATTGAACACCAGCGCAAGGATCCCTGCATTCGCATCGCGGGCATCCACTAGCTTCATCCAGAGCGAATCCCAACGGACAAAGCATCCTGCACGAGTGGGCTGGACACCGTTCTTCCGCAACTAATGTACAGAAAAACAAAATTTAATGTAATAAATGCAGTAATAAAAATAGAAAGTTTATAATCAATTATAGATGAACATAGAAATGTTTTACCATAATTCTAATTATAAAATTGTTAGTGCATTTTAGCGGAATTTCTTCCAATGTCTATATTTCATCTCTGTGTCATGCAAATTGTTTATTACTATAGAATTATAAACTTCTGCATATTACATATTCATGTACTTTTATATAACATCTTTTAACATTTGAACAGAGATACATCAAATCGTTACGTTGAAAATTTGCATGCTGTATGTAAATTGTATTAACTTGCATAACGCAAAGAGAAAAATATAGTTACAAAAGTAGATGTCTGCAATTATAGATGCAAGAATAATTAAGGTTGGGCTGCCAGCCTAACAAAAATAGAAGTAATCAATATAACAAGTTTGAATAGCACTTTCATTTTTACGAAACTGACCAATTATAAAATGTAGAATGAAAAGAAATGTATATATGCAAGAAAGATTGACAAAGAGTATTGACAATTTGTAAATTTAGTTGGACTATATTACTTATATCCATATGCCATAGGTATTAAAACCATAAAATGTAGCTTACGTTTAAATTTATGCTGGTGATATACAATACTTTGCAAAATATTTAATACATAGTAGGAACAAAAAACATTATAAATCATTAAATTTTCAGTTTAGGGTAAGTTAATGCATTAACCCTTAAATCTGATTTATGAGATAATTCAATTCAATTTAATTTTAATTTTATAAATATCTACTCCCTATAATATTATTGTTGTTTTGAACTAATTTGTTTATTTAAGTAACATAAATTACAATTAAAATATTGCGAAAATAATTTTTTCAAAAAAATATTTTAAATTTACTATTACTCGTAATAGACAAAAGGGTTTCATATTGCTTCAAATTAATTAGAATTATGAATATTTTATGATAAGTATACAGGGGATTGAAGACAACTATCAGAAACCGTCAGAGCTAAATAAGAAACTTTAAAGCATAAAATATTCTTGTTGTTTGTTAATTCATATACTCAAAATATTATTCATACTCTTAAGAACTCTTTGTATAAAAAGATAACTTAATAATAAACAATAGTTAATATTTTATCTCGTGCAATGTATGATATAAAATTGTAACTAACCGGTACAGTTCACCAGATCCCTAGATGGTGCTCTGGTCGCTGGTAGTTCAGCTCCTCCTTCATCGACGCACCAGCAAGGGCCTTGACCGCCAGGGCCGCATTGTACGCGTTCCCATTCGCCGTCAGCTTTACAACGAGGAACCCGAACCGACGTGGTTCCTAAGCTTTTCGCTCGGCGGGCTGCCGATTTTCGGTAATGTTCACATGCTGAAAAATAGACAAAATATTTATATTTATTATTTTCATATCATTTCATGTTTTCTTCTAATTTTGTTCACATAACAATTGAATCAAAGCTAAAGGCTGAACTGTTAAGGGCGCCATCTAATCCTAAAAATTTCATTCTAAAAGCAAAATTATTTTAAATTAACATGTGTAGATTTAAAGATTGATCTCTCTATAGTTCAACCTAAGCGTCTTGTCTCAGAAAATTATCTGAACTATACTATCTTAAAAAAAACTAATTATATAATAAAAAAAGGTTTTGTAATAATCTGATATAGCAGAAATTAAAGTCTTATGTTATATTAAACATATTATATCTAATCCTTTAAAATAACACCATTCAAGATCAAATGATTTTTTTTTTAACTAATCATCTTTCAACAAGATGAAATGAGAAGAATTAATTTAATAAAATTATTTTATCAATAGTATGTCGAATTATATATCCTTTAGTTTTGTTAATGCATTGTAAAACTATTTTAACACAGGATGAAATAAAATTGATATCTACATAATTTTTAATTTTATATTATTATTAATTATTTTCAACACTTGCAGAATATGGACAATTTATAATCTATATGCATATCAGTTTTAAATGTGAACACAGGTTTAAATCTGTTAGATTGAACCGATAAACCATGCTTGAAAAACTAGTTATTTATGTCAACTTTGTTACCACAATTCATTTTTTACTTTATTTAGAAAGATTTTTATTTACAAATCAAGATTCTTGAATATAACACGCGGAAGCATTTGCATAATAGTCTATTAAATAACAGATGTATGAATATATTTATTACTATGCGGAATATGGCATTTAGAAGTTTTTTTTACAGAAAAATTTCAAATTATCATCCAGGTTATTTATTTGAGAATTGAATCCCTAGGGTGTAAATACTTCAATTCCTTTAATTTTCATTTTGAGTAGAAATCTGAAATATTCTTGACGTTATGGGTTGTTGTGTGATGTATTTTCTACTACCAATATTTTATATATAAAAAAGCAACCCGATGGTTGTCCTGTTTCTCTGTGCGTTAGAATCATGGGATATTTTTAACAGTAACGCTATATATAACAGCAGTACCCCTAAATACTATTTTCAGTTGGAATTGTATCAGTTACAAACTCTCAGTTAGGTGTGACGGACAATATTGATATTTTTATTTTAGCATCTAGTCAAGATTAAAAAGCCAATTCTTCGATAAAATAGACTGTTCACATAAAAACGCCATGTTACGTTCTTTTCTTCATATAAATTGGTAGTAAAAACTGCCAAAATGCTATGTATTTGCTTTTTGCACATAAAACCTAACTTCATGTATATTATAAATTCACATCAGAAAAATGCAGTTATTGTAACATTCTTTTTATGACGTTTGTGCGTTTTCTAGGCTAGATTTTATAACTAAAACGCCTGACTCCAACCATAAATCATTTTGACAGTTTTTACTACTAATATAAATTTGGATAACAATATAAATTTGGATCATTCAAATCCGTTATCTCAAAAACTTGATTTCTATTTTCTGCTCTGTATCTCTATAATGGCTGGACCTGCCTTTGTTTAAAACTAATCATCACATCTCCCGTTGCCATAACAACGCTATGTTACAGTCTATTTTATCGGAGAATTGGTGATTGATTAGACTCTGTAATGGAGACCAATACTTTTGATGTTTGTATGTTTACTTTTGTATTTCATATGTAAGTACTGAATAATTTTACTTCAGTTACTTATTACAAGCGAGCTTGACAAAAACTTGATATAATGTTTATTATTATTTATTATGGGTTGCATTTCATATTTTTCATTTCTCATAGATTTCATTGAAAATATAAAGTGTTTACTAATATTAATAAAATGTAAAATGTAACTAAATTTACTCCAAAACCTTACTTAAATTTTTTTGGTATGCATATATTTATTGTCAATCAGAATATACATTATTTTTTAAGACTAATGTGCTGGTCTTAAGATAACAAAGATAAAGAGTTTTAGTTAGAAGCAAATTATGGAAGGAAGGTGCCTGAGAAGTCATAACTTATATACTTCTCAATACCGTAAAATAACAAATTTTTAAAATGTTATTAAGTAATTTATATATTGTTTCTTTAATACTTCAATTGCCATTAATACTTAATGGCATTTTTTTGAATAGTACAATACCAAGTGCATCAGAAAAAGTTTTTAAATGAGGAAGCAAACTTTAATGTGGAACCTTTAACACGTTCATGTCTTGTATTGTTATAATTAAATTTGGGATTTGAACTTAAAATAATAAAAACATTTTATAAAGAATAATTATCATTATTCTTTATGAAACAAAGGGTTATTAGAAAAAATGCAAGACACGGCTAAGATCTTGCTCACTTCTTTCTTCACATTGCTTGCTAAAGAAAAAAAACTATGTTATAAGGTGACCACATTTTTTAAATTATGCTAAATAATTTAAATATGATTTGAAAATAACAAATACTATAAAAACCCAAACAGATACAATAAAAGGCAGTGTTTTTGAATTAATCAATTTTTTAATCAGAATTGAAAGTAAGATCTATAATATTCGATTGTATGTTATACTCTTCTTTTGCCTTTGATTACATTTTATATCTTACATTTTTCGATATTATTTTCCCCCTTTTGACCTTGCAATCTATTTAATTTTCTTCATATTTAACTTGATAAAGTTGGCATTTGTTCGTTCGTCTTCATAACTTTTGTTAATTTTCGCAAAATTGCAAATAAAGTTGGTATTTATTAATGTGAAAGCTATTTGAACCCGCCTTTACACTTTTGTATTCGGCAAATTTTTCATTCCTAACGTATTTATTCAGCGTAAGCATACTCGTTTGTCTTGTAATATAATATAAGTGTATTAGTTTTAGATATTGGATGGGTAATTGTAATTTCGTTATCAAGTAATAGCGAAGAATAAATTTAAATCTATACTTTTCCCGAAAACTTGAAACAATCCAGAATAATAGTTGTAAATCCAGGACAAATATTAGCTTTTAGAAAAACCCGGGACACAAGGTGAAAATTTGGGGCTGACCCGCTCAAACCGGGACGTATGGTCACCTTAGATCTTAGCAGTCGCAATAGGGTAGCGGTGGGGAAACTTTTTTAATCATTACTTCAAAATATTTTTATTAACCCCAAGACGAAGAAAAATTACCCTCATATGGACAGTTACGCAGCACATACAGTAAATAAAATTATGTAATTAAAAATACATACTTTTTACCATTAAAAATTCCATTTTTATCCCGACCACAGAAATACGGAAAACACAATTTCAATTGTTCTTTCCGTAAATAAAGCATTGATGTAAGTAAAACTGACAAATCTCAAAATTTAATCGCTAATAAAAAATGAATTATAAATTGTGAAAAAGCTCTGTTTGCTTACTTTTATTGCAAAACTATTATAAAACTTAAAGCGTTACTAATGTAAAAGTCCTATTTCCTATTATCAAAATAAAAGTTTTAAACAATTACCGTGATGATTACCAAGTCTTATTAATCCAATATCTGATTATTAACTTCCCGAAGGAGAAGTTTATGTTTTCATCATAAAACCCGATTCGCTAATTTTATGTTTTCTCGACGTTTCAAGCCATTCTGAATCGAATGAGACCAAATTTGGAAAAAGTATGTGTGTGTGTGTGTGTGTGTGTGTGTGTGTATGTGAACAGATTTTTTGTCGTAAATCGACGTTTTCTCGAAAACGGCTGGGTCGATTTCAAAAATTTAAAAGCCATTCGATGTATCTTGACGAGAACTATTGTTTGTCAGTTTTGTGCGACGATCGGCCAAGCCGTTTCTTTATAAATGGCAGAAAAGTGAAAAATTTTTCGTCTACGTTTTAGCCCGCAATTCTGAATCGATTTTGAAAATTCAAAACCGTTCGAAAGATATTGGTTGGGAATCGTGCTGATTAGTTTTTGGTAGAGATCGGCCGGGCCGTTTTCTTGTAATAAAGTTTTTTAAAAAAAAATTTCGACGATTTTTATGATTATTTTTTTGACGATAGATACCATAGTCTTCTAGATCATACTAAAATATTACGGCCCTACGACAAACTGGTTCAGCTTTAAAAATTCGTCAAAGTTTGCAAAAATCAGTATGGTCTTTTTGGCATTTGTCAAAATTAGACTTTTGATCGACGTTTTCTCAAAAACGCCTAAACTGATTTTAGAAATTTAAAAGCCATTTGATGTATTTCGGTGAGGACTATCGTTTGTCAGTTTTGTGCAACGATCTGCCAAGCCGTTTCTTTGTAATTTTGAAAAAAACTTTTCGTCCACATTTAAGCTCATCCTACTGAACGATTTTAAAAAATCAAAAACTGTTCGAAAGATATTAGTTGGGAATGATACTGATTAATTTTAGGTGAAAATCTACCGAGCCGTTTTCTTGTAATTAACTGTTGAAAAAAAGTGTTAAATTTTCGTCGACATTTAAGCTCATCCTACCGAACCGATTTTAAAATATCAAAAACTGTTCTAAAGATATTAGTTGGGAATGGTACTGATTAATTTTAGGTGAAAATCTACCAAGCCGTTTTCTTGTAATTAACTGTTGAAAAAAAGTGTTAAATTTTCGTCGACATTTAAGCTCATCCTACCGAACCGATTTTAAAATATCAAAAACTGTTCGAAAGATATTAGTTGGGAATGATACTGATTAATTTTAGGTGAAAATCTACCGAGCCGTTTTCTTGTAATTAACTGTTGAAAAAAAGTGTTAAATTTTCGTCGACATTTAAGCTCATCCTACCGAACCGATTTTAAAATATCAAAAACTGTTCGAAAGATATTAGTTGGGAATGATACTGATTAATTTTAGGTGAAAATCTACCGAGCCGTTTTCTTGTAATTAACTGTTGAAAAAAAGTGTTAAATTTTCGTCGACATTTAAGCTCATCCTACCGAACCGATTTTAAAATATCGAAAACTGTTCGAAAGATATTAGTTGGGAATGATACTGATTAATTTTAGGTGAAAATCCACCGAGCCGTTTTCTTGTAATTAACTGTTGAAAAAAAGTGTTAAATTTTCGTCGACATTTAAGCTCATCCTACCGAACCGATTTT